AGTCACTGTACAGCCACATCGCATTCAAAACGCCAGTACGAATGTACAAATGGAAGTGGAATGTGCGCCGCATCTCCAAAAAGGGATTGATCAACGGCAAATGGTCTATATTTGTCTATCCTATTGGGTTTACCATTGTACTTCAAAACTTTAGAGCTAAACCATCTCGGCGACATTTCAGTCACTGCCAACAGCGTATAGAGGAAGACAATAAACAATACTATTGAGTTTGAATGCAATACTGGATAAAATGTGACAATTAAGGTAATCGACTATGTTGTGAAGTGCCGCTTATCTGCAAGCGAGAATCGGAATAGTGTTGGGCAGTAGGCCTCCGCAGACCATTCTTGATATGGGAACCTATTCGGAAGGCTGAGATACGGTAATTAAGTTCAAACAGCTTCATGTACAGCCGCCGGTTCAAATAGTGATTCCTCAAATCAGTCGTGTCGGTTTCCACTTATTACAATTGCTTCAAATATTGATATGTTACGTCTTTCACAGCTTTCAAATACTGGGTTTTGAAAACTCAAGACAGTTAAAAAGAAAACTTCCATTCAAAAGTTAGGCCTTTTCAAGAGAAAAAAAGTAATGCGCGAAAAGCAGACGGTGAAGACTTACTTATGACCGCTACTGAACGTCTCAAGAGCACACTCCTCACTTTTACCGCACATTGAAATTTGGCTTCAGCGAATTAAATAATGCAATCTCGTCAATGACATTCAGCGTTATTTGTAGCTGTCGATAACGTAGCAAATATTTCAGGAGCAAAGTTACTGCACCAACTGAACCGTTGAAGGAGAAGGAAACAGCTCAGGCTTCTCGAGTTAGGCAAAAGGCTTCTTGAAGTAAGTCTTCGATGAACAAGCGTTCATTTCATTTTCGTATGAGAGAACAAGAACTGACACGTGCATCACTCACCGCCCAGTCATTGCATAGGCCGAACAGCATTTTCAATGCCACTACAAGATTAACACTGAAGTGAGTGCCTGCGCATCTTCGCGGAAGGTATGTGGACGTGCAGTCAATCTTTTGCCAATCGCCTTGCAATCGGGCTGATTGAACCTAATACTTATGGTATTAATGGTAACTTTTGAAAGGACTTGGGGAAGGAAGGTGGAAGTGACAAGAGCTTGTAGCAAATGTTCCGTTGAAGAGCGGGGGTCGTATTACCTCGGAAGGATGCTGCTGACGGTGCAATAGTGTCCTGTGAACTTCAGGATGCCGTGGTAGAAGATATTTCATTTGGAAGGAAGCAATGCTCTATTCGACTGTAGGAAAAGAATGATGAGCTCTTGCTCAACTTCCTAGAGAGCAGCTACTAGTTGTGTTTCTACAAAAACGTTGAGCTGAACCCATCCGACAATTATGGGGGATTTCTCGGCTGTAAGGTCGTACTTGGGATCGTAAAAAAGCCTTGGGCCGATTTTTTTGAAAGCTCCTGATCTTCCAATTATTGATCGACGATCGATCAGATAATTGGAAGACCATGATCAATCATACTTCTCCGCACAGGTATATATAGCCTGGGTTGCCTTCCTTAACTTTAATCATGATGTCGATTTCACAAGATCGCCTTTGAGCGATTATCTTCTGTGAATGGCGTCGCGGCACAGGAGCGACTGAAACCGTCCACAACATTAACGGCGCATTAGAAGAGGAAAATTTCACTTTCATAAGCAGTATCAAGAGCTGGTTCGCTCGGCTTTCAAAGGAGGAGACACGGCTTTCGAAGAACAAGCAAGGTTGGGACGCCCAAACAGTGGAAGACTCCACCACTTCCGGAAGCAATCAAAGAGGATCCGGAGGTTAGCACCCACAGCCTTGCGACAAGGCTCGGTTGTACCCATCCATCAGTCCTGAGCCGGTCAGCGATTTCTTTGACTCTAAGTCTGCTCAGTTCTGGGAGAAGGGGGTCGCTGACCTGCTCATTAGGTGGGACTCTGTAGTGAGTAGCAATGGTGATTATATTGTTGGTAAATTCCATTGTACGCTGGAATAAAAAAGTAAAGCAAAAAAATGTCAAAGTGGCTAAGACTTTTTTTTACCATCCTAATCGTGGAGTTTGAATTCGATAATAATGATGCAAGGCACAGGATTTTTTGTGTGTGTGTGGGAGGTAGGGGGAGGGTAGGGGGGGGGAACGTGCATCCTTTGAAGGGGATCGCACCATGAGTGATGTTGAGCTAGTGAAAAACTGAGTAGGATCAGAGGGATATCGATATATTCACAATCAGAAGGCAATTTACAATGTATTTAGGGCGAAACCAGGAAACATAAGATCATTCTCATAATGTCGGATGGTAGGGAATCTACGTACTATCAGAAGGACAAACCGAATGATGACGAAACAAGCATCGCAGAATTAGTAAGATTGTAAAATTAAAATTACATTCTACACTTTTACAGCCACCTATTGTCTAAACCATTCATCAATAGTTCAGACTTTTGATAACTTTGCACCTTAATGATACAGCTATGAATATCTGATTACGAATATTTTACAAATTCGAAGCACACGGTGGGGAATAAATATGGTGACAAAATAAGTGTGGCTTAGTTCGAACCAGAGGGTTGAAACGGGATATCAAGTAGAGCAAGGTATGACCACATTCTTTCAAACAACTTTTCAAATTTTCCCCTACAGAAGTCGGCCCTTGCCCGCATGACATCCTTCATATCTTCATCTCATCCTTTTTTAGGAGCAGTTGTTGGCGATCCAATTAAATTGTGGTGTTTCGCGCTCATCCTTAGCTTCAATATTCACCGCAACAATTTATTCGCTACATTCAGATCAATGGTTTTGACTGGCCAGTAATTAGGCAGCCCAAAATCGGACAAATGGGCTCTGCTTCAGACTTTCACACAATTCAATCCATGAGCCGGCATACCACCTAGCTAATTAATCCACTCGTTGTGAGCAAGAGCGTGACTGGAGCGTTCTTCGGAATGCCATCTTGGATAGAATTTGGCTTAAGATTTTACTCCCACATAAGCGGAAACCAACCGGGTTGAAGATATCGCGGTCACTCAGAACAACAATCCCAGCAGGTTTTACCTTCGACACTAATGGTGTGGAACGATGCGCTAGCCCTAGTCAAGAACATAAGAAGTGTGACTGAACAAAAAACTCACCTTGGAAAGCCGCTAGAAAGGGAGCTGAACGGCTTCGAAGTGGGCGTGGTTGTCGGCCGGCAATCCCTCGCCGATTCAACCACGCCCACTTCGAAGCCGTTCAGCTCCCTTTCTAGCGGCTTTCCAAGGTGAGTTTTTTGTTCAGTCACACTTCTTATGTTCTTGACTAGGGCTAGCGCATCGTTCCACACCATTAGTGTCGAAGGTAAAACCCTGCTGGGACTGTTGCTTTGACTTCAATTCATCGATGAGCTACGAAGTTGATTTTGATTTGCAATGTTCCTGCCCTGCTAGTTTCTTGTAACTCCTAACAATTATTTTTGAATTTTCTTACGGTCTCCCTTCGCAGCCCGCGCCTCGAGTCCTCAAAATTTTTACCTCTGTTCTTCCACTCCCTATCCAAAAGAGCATGCCGTTTATGGTGTAGCTAGCGCCACTAAAGGTTGGAAGTTTACTTGCTTATTTTTTATCTTTTACTTCTATTCAATCAATAATTCATTTTCATATTTGTTATCTTCTGGCTGATCTTGAGCGCTTACAGGATATGATTACATACCGAGCCCACGCCGCCGTCATCCGCTACCGTATAAAAGAGCCGTGTTGATCTGGTCTGGCCAAACGCCTTCATATCTCATGGGTACAGCTCCAGCAAGTTCATGCGGACCAGGCACAACGTAGTCCAACGTTTCCTCCCGCTTCGAAATCAATTCCTCTGTATGAGCAAACGGAGGTGTCGATTCATATGTGGGCGTGCGAACCATTGAAAGACCAAGCTTCTCACGCATGGCAGCAATGCGGGAATCAAAAAGAACCAAATTTTCATCAGGAGCTTCCCACTGCGAGAGAATCTTCGCATCAATTAATGATGTAAACATCTGTGTTTCCAGGAAAGCGGCGAGGAAAGCTAAGTGACTGTCGGGCTGGTCAGACAAAAAGGAGGCCTTGTCAAAGCAGACAAGACTATCCCTGCTGTCGTCAAACGCTTCCCTATCAGTGCAACCTTGCCCGCCAACGACAAAGTGCTCATAAGAATATAACATGCACACAATTCTGTTTAAAACGCATTCACGAATAGCATTATTGAGTCGAGCATTCTGGAAATACTGTTTACAAACTGGTGAATTTGCATATTGATCCTTACATGACAACTCGTTCTCCAAATCCTGAACGTCTATAAGGACGCCAGCACGCCGAGCTATCTCTGCTACTCTGGCAACGGTGGAGTTGTTCTTCAAGACGCCTTCTAAAGGTAGTGGTGTGAGGTCAGCTCGAGATGGGCGTGGCGAAAGAAGTACTGACTCACTGATAACATCATCTATGACGTCGTCTCTATCAAAAGAACGGCTCATCCGTTTCGCTGACCATTCCTCGGTTCGGCGAGTATTATTACTGCGGTTTGTGACTGCTGGAGAACCAGAAGGTGTTGCACCACCAATAACGGATTTCGACATGTCATCCCAAGTCGAGTACCTCTCTATAGCCAACTTGATTTCCTGGCACAATTGTTTAGCACCAGGAAACGAAGGAAGGTCTTCGGGGAATTCTGTGCGTCCCGTGTCGATATCAAGTACACACACATTCGATTGAAAGAGAAATTCCGGTACACTCTCCTCATAACACCAACCCATTACGTATGGCACAGGAGCCTCAACGAACTTCAGCTGGGAATAAGGCAATATGGGCACGTAAACCATTTGCCATCGGAAAGGAAAGGCCAGTGCACATAGGGATTCACTAACACACATCAAACGAGAATAATCTTTTGAACAAAGCAATATCTGATGTTCTAACAGGAAACAAGCAAACAACCGAAGAAATTTCTCCACCGAAATGTACTGAAACATCGATGCCAGTGAGTCGTCAAATAAAGGTAACTCTCGAGAGCCTGGTCGTTGGACGAGAATTGTGGCGTCAAGCATTGAAACCTTCAAGGTCGTCCCTGGCGATGGGAGTGGTATTTCGTTAAGAATCCAATAAATATAACTTTCCAGAGGCAGAACTGGTTGAGAGGTACTCGTGAGCAATTCATGTATTGCCCTTAGAATCGCTGTTGTTGAAAAGACCAAAGGCAATCGAGTAATCAGACACAAAGCTTTGCTCATGAACAACGTTTTGGTATTCATAAGCATGTGCTCCAATTTTCCTATGCAGAAAATTTTGCACCATTTGCCATGATAATTGGGAATATATTGCCAATTTAATCATGGTCCTCATTGAATTGTGGTGGATATTTTTGGCAATATTTACAGCCACTTGGCGTCTACAACCGTTGTATGTACCTCTGTGAGAAAGGTCATCATGCGTACTACATTGAGAGTCATATGATGATCTGCCGATGCATTCTTCGCATATGACAGATCTCGGAAAGAATCAACAGCAACGCGTGAGGTTAGAAACTCACTGGTTCCGGATTAAGTGGTTCCATTCATCAAATAAAGATCATGAAGCCATGATTCAGTAATGTTTTGTGCAGAAGACAATGGTGCATCTGATGGTCCCATCAGAAGTTCTGCTCATGGCTCAGCAACTGCGTTTCTAGAAATTCAATCTCATCACCATATTAATGCTCCACTGTTTCTTAGGTAGGCACCGTAGATCAGTCTTAAGCAGGTAACCACAGCTGCAATCTGTCTTTCAACAAAGATATGGCGGGCAGCGGTGTCAGGAATGGAGCCGTTACGGTATGCCTCCTCGACGCGTAGTGGCAGAAAGACTTATTGTGCGGACGCTGAACTGCAGTGAAGGAGCGCTGCTCGGGCTCACGTTAGACATACTGAAAGAATATGTTTGGCATTAATTGTTGACCGGCTTTACCCTTTCGAGCGAAAGCTCGCTGTTGGAGCGACTTTTAGACCCCCCGTATGGTGGTGTAAGAATCGGGAGATGTTTTGGCTTACCGCTAACTATGCCAACTAATGCGAACACGCATTCGATGAAGCCAACAAGTGCTTGTTTTATATGGCTGGAACTGCACAACACTTCCTGCCAGTTCCCCATGAAACGACCCGTGTCCCTCTCCCACAGCATACGCATTACATTGACAAACCGATGCGCTCAAATTTTTAAAAGGACAACTAACCGCTGACCAATTTCAAAGACACCTATTTCCTCAAAAATGAAGATATGAACGCCTCATGGCTGGTGTGGGTTGAGCGCTAGTTAAAATTTCACATGGGCAGCACAGCTTGATCTTAGGATCACCGCTTCTGCCACTTCGACGCGCCTCCACGAAGAGGTGTAGTAATTCTGCTTAAAATGGAATGTAGAAGAAGCCTTTTGGGGTGACCAATAATAAAAGGGCTTGAGCAAAAGCAACAAAACTGCTAAAAAAATCCTTCCAATCACACTGCCCTAATCGTAAGAGCAGAGGTAGCCCAACTACTAGCACCCCCCTTGTTAGCAAAAGGTGATATCGGCTTGAGATTCTAACGGCAAGTCGAGGATTCTGCCAGTCAGACACGATCTCTTGCGCGGACATTCACACTCGCCATGGACGTGCCGTCTGTGCTCTCCGCGCGGATGTTCACTCTCGGCACTACTCTCACATGGTAGAGAGCCATGGTCGAGGAAATCCTCGACCGTTATTCACCCTGCTTGTTACTCACCCCTTTTGCTAATACGGTGAAATACAGTTGGAATGACGATGAAACTCCAGATTATGGAGGAATTCCCATTTGGGGCTCTCAATACTAAAGATGGGGATAAGAGTTTCACGACACACAATCAATTCATTCGAAATTACTTCCGATTAGGAGCGGTGTAGTGTGAAAGTACTTCTGAGGTGATTCCAGATCTTGCCTGCATGTTATCAAGGAAGAATGTTCACTGAACTAAGGTGTGGACATTCTTCGTGCGCAAGGGTGTAGCAGCCCAGGGTGGACGCTCACATGCCATAAATTGCCTAGGACGTAAGCAGGATGTCCGTGATGTAGGGCATTCTTCGGTCCTTATCAAAAGTGTACTTAAAATGAGTCTTCACCTATGCTTACCAGGGGGCGGCAGAGTCGAAGGACATGCTTCTTAGTAATTACGATAAGATAGCAGGGGATGTTCCGCCAACAGAACGGGGAGATCGAAGGCTACGCTTCGTGGTTGAAATCAATTGTTTCATGGATAAGCACTCACACGCTAATATAAACAGGGATCGAGCATCTCAGAATCTTCTACATAGTGTGGTGGCTATCTGGAGGCGAGGCAGAAGAATGCTGAAGGGGAAAAGAAAGTAGAGGAAAGGAAAGGTCGGTGGGCGGCCGGGGACCAATCTAGCGGGTTCATATTTAAAGCGTCATAGTGGCAGAACGTACAGGGGACTCAGTGAAGAAGAGTGTACCCACCAGCTTCACCAGCTTGCTGAGCAGACGAAATAAGCGTAGAAGCGGCAAACAATGTTCCCCATTGCTACAGGGTTACAGTAATTGTTTCTGTGCAAGCAGTTGTCTAAATACCTAGGAGCAGTGCATTCTTGCCCAATAGCTTTAAATAATTGTTTCAAATCAAGCAACAAAGTTTTTTTCATGTCATCCCCTCGTGAATGAAGCTGGCACATTAGTTCTCGTATATTGGGTTACCGGTGCGCAAGTGGTGTAGTGGCAAGTGGCACGCTTGCAGACGCGGCGGTTTGAGAGTCAAATTCCTGAGGTCGTGGACTCACCCCCCCGCAACCCCCCGCGGGCCCACGCCCCCCCGCCCCCCCGGCAGCCCCCCCGAGGGGCCTTACCAGCCTTGCTCTGGCGGTTCCGGTAAGTCAGGTGACGGTTGACCGATGTGTCTGGGAAGGATAAAAAAACACCGACTTGTACATGGGCTCCCCTCCAAAGTCATTGTATAGCAGCATCGTTTTGGCAACGCCGAGTCGAGTTTTGTACAATGGAAGCTGTGGTGAATGTGCGTCCGCTCCCAAAAAGAGAGTGAATATCAAGCGCAAATTGGTCCTTATGTCTATCTATTTGGGTTACCATTGTACTTCAAAACTTTAGAGCTAAACCATCTCGGCGACATTTCAGTCACTGCCAACAGCTTATAGAGGAAGACAATAAACAATACTATTGAGTTTGGAATGCAATACTGGATAAAATGTGACAATTAAGGTAATCGACTATGTTGTGAAGGTTGCCGCTTATCTGCCAAAGGCGAGAATCGGAATAGTGTTGGGCAGTAGGCCTCCGCAGACCATTCTTGATATGGGAACCTATTCGGAGGCTGAGATACGGTAATTAAGTTCAAACAGCTTCATGTACAGCAGCGGTCAAAAGTGTTCCTCAAATCAGTTCGCGTATGATTTTCCACTTGTTACAATTGAGCTTCGAATTTGATATGTTACGCCTTTCACAGCTTTCGAATACGGTTTTGAAAACTCAAGACAGTTAAAAAGAAAACTTCCATTCAAAAGTTAGGCCTTTTCAAGAGAAGAAAAGTAATGCGCGAAAAGCAGACGGTGAAGACTTACTTATGACCGCTACTGAACGTCTCAAGAGCACACTCCTCACTTTTACCCACAATTTGAACATTGCCTCCAGCAATTAACTAATGCCAATTCGTTCAATGACATTCAGCGTTATTTGTAGCTATCGATAACGTAGCCTATATTTCAGGAACAAAGTTACTGCACCAACTGAACCGTTGAAGGAAAAGGAAACAGCTCAGGTTCTCGAGTTAGGCAAAAGGCTTCTTGAAGTAAGTTTTCGATGAACAGCGTTCATTTCATTTGTCGTATTGGAGAAAAGATGAACGGGCAGTCACTTACGCAGCCAGACAGTTGAAGGCACGTATAACATCTGCCATATATACAGGGGGGGGGGCAAAAAAAAGACATTTTGCCTATGTCGGACTTCGGCTCTTTTTTCTTCGCAGAGATTGCTGTCGTTGACGGGAGTTCCTCAGCAGAGTATTCCCTAAGTGTTCCTCTATTAGTGTACGCAGGCTCTCCTTCACTGCCCTCACCGTCTTCAGAATATGACGTCATCTGTCACCGTCGTCAGGCTCAAGGAGGTCTACCGTAAGAGCTTCAGCCTGAAGCTCTTACGCAATTTCGTGAATCGATTTAATGTTGGATAGTTTTCTAGAGGCATTAGCTACCACTGTGCAAATCCCCTCGGAACTAGCTTTCCAGTAAGGGTCGTTATGGTACACGATCCTTCGAAGACCCCATTGAGATCGACCAGTGCACCATGTTTCCAGGGCTAATTCTTCTGATGCCGTCCACGTACGTGGCCACTATGAAGATTTTCTTATAGAATGGAATGCACTCTTTAATAATAAGTTGGAACCGTTCGGTCTGAGTTGAGTAAAATGTGCTTAAATCCATCTGGAAGTGGAGGCAAAATGTCTTTTTTTTTGGCCCCCCCCCCTGTATATTGGACATCGCGATGCAGCGATTCTCAGGAAGAATTATGTGAGTTTTACGTCACTCATTTGCCATCGCTATGAAATATGATTGACTTGAACTAAAGTAAACTATAATAAGGTATTAATAGGACAATAAAACTTTTTGGACGAGGAGACTAAGAAGGAAGGAAGCGTGCGAGGGTGACAAGAGTAATATAAGGCAAAAGTTCCGTGTGGCAAAGCGGGGTTCAGGTGAATCTAAGACGTGGCGGCACAAAGGATGGCTGACATGAAGGAATGCTGCTGACGGTGCAATAGTGTCCTGTGAACTTCAGGATGCCGTGGTAGAAGATATTTCATTTGGAAGGAAGCAATGCTCTATTCGACTGTAGGAAAAGAATGATGAGCTCTTGCTCAACTTCCTAGAGAGCAGCTACTAGTTGTGTTTCTACAAAAACGTTGAGCTGAACCCATCCGACAATTATGGGGGATTTCTCGGCTGTAAGGTCGTACTTGGGATCGTAAAAAAGCCTTGGGCCGATTTTTTTGAAAGCTCCTGATCTTCCAATTATTGATCGACGATCGATCAGATAATTGGAAGACCATGATCAATCATACTTCTCCGCGACAGGTATATACAGCCTGGTTGTTTTCCTTAACTTTAGTCATGATGTCGATTTCACAAGATCGCCTTTGAGCGATTATCTTCTGTGAATGGTGTCGCGGCACAGGAGCGACTGAAACCGTCCACAACATTAACGGCGCATTAGAAGAGGAAAATTTCACTTTCATAAGCAGTATCAAGAGCTGGTTCGCTCGTTTCAAAGGAGGAGACACGGCTTTTGAGGACAAGCTAAGGTTGGGACGCCCAAGCGAGTGGCGAAGACTCCACCACTCCGGGAAGCAATCAAAGAGGATCCGGAGGTTAGCACCCACAGCCTTGCGACAAGGTACCTATGCCATCAGTCCTGAGCGGTCAGCGATTTCTTTGACTCTCAGTCTGCTCAGTTCTGGGAGAAGGGGGTCGCTGACCTGCCATTAGGTGGGACTCTGTAGTGAGTAGCAATGGTGATTATATTGTTGGTAAATTCCATTGTACGCTGGAATAAAAAAGTAAAGCAAAAAAATGTCAAAGTGGCTAAGACTTTTTTTTACCATCCTAATCGTGGAGTTTGAATTCGATAATAATGATGCAAGGCACAGGATTTTTTGTGTGTGTGTGTTGGGTGAGTAGGGTAGGGGAGGGGGGGGGGGGGGAACGTGCATCCTTTGAAGGGGATCGCACCATGAGTGATGTTGAGCTAGTGAAAAACTGAGTAGGATCAGAGGGATATCGATATATTCACAATCAGAAGGCAATTTACAATGTATTTAGGGCGAAACCAGGAAACATAAGATCATTCTCATAATGTCGGATGGTAGGGAATCTACGTACTATCAGAAGGACAAACCGAATGATGACGAAACAAGCATCGCAGAATTAGTAAGATTGTAAAATTAAAATTACATTCTACACTTTTACAGCCACCTATTGTCTAAACCATTCATCAATAGTTCAGACTTTTGATAACTTTGCACCTTAATGATACAGCTATGAATATCTGATTACGAATATTTTACAAATTCGAAGCACACGGTGGGGAATAAATATGGTGACAAAATAAGTGTGGCTTAGTTCGAACCAGAGGGTTGAAACGGGATATCAAGTAGAGCAAGGTATGACCACATTCTTTCAAACAACTTTTCAAATTTTCCCCTACAGAAGTCGGCCCTTGCCCGCATGACATCCTTCATATCTCATCTCATCCTTTTTTAGGAGCAGTTGTTGGCGATCCAATTAAATTGTGGTGTTTCGCGCTCATCCTTAGCTTCAATATTCACCGCAACAATTTATTCGCTACATTCAGATCAATGGTTTTGACTGGCCAAGTAATTAGGCAGCCCAAAATCGGACAAATGGGCTCTGCTTCAGACTTTCACACAATTCAATCCATGAGCCGGCATACCACCTAGCTAATTAATCCACTCGTTGTGAGCAAGAGCGTGACTGGAGCGTTCTTCGGAATGCCATCTTGGATAGAATTTGGCTTAAGATTTTACTCCCACATAAGCGGAAACCAACCGGGTTGAAGATATCGCGGTCACTCAGAACAACAATCCCAGCAGCGTATTTACCTTTGACACTAATGGTGTGGAACGATGCGCTAGCCCTAGTCAAGAACATAAGAAGTGTGACTGAACAAAAAACTCACCTTGGAAAGCCGCTAGAAAGGGAGCTGCATGCTTCGAAGTGGGCGTGGTTAAGTCGGCCGTTTATGCAGTCTTCACGATTCAAATTAAAGGCACAACCCAGGCAGAGGTCGTGTGAACTCTTCTCTTCGGTCAGAAGTATAGAACCCTAGGGGACAATCACAAATGTGGCGTTCACGTGCACGGAAACGACCGACAAGAGCGCTTGGGCCTTGCAAAGTAAGCTGCTCGAAGCTGCAGTCTCTTATCAGGCTGTTGTCTGGCGCTCTCTCATCTGTAGCGCTCTCTCGCCTCATACTCTCCTCTCCGCGCTTAGTCTCTCATTCCCTTAGCACAGCCGATTAGGAAGGTGAGTGAGCCCTTAACCTGAGCGTTTTCGACGGATTCTTTTCCTTTTTTCTTCACTGCCGGCCCATTTCGCACCATACATTCACATTCGTGTGCAAGAGCCACACCAGTGCGATCCTGGGGCATGCCTTTAAGCTATTTCTATGTCGTTTCGTATATTGCCATTAACAGTCCTTATCACTTTATGACTCCCCACCAAATATGTTCCCGTCCCACCCTGCACATCACTTCTTGGAACCAACGCCCCACTGCTGCTGGGACGCGCGCTATGAATTTCGTGAAATTTGCGTTTCAGCGCCTCTTATCGGATCTTATCAGTCGTTATCACTTTCTGACCCCCACCAAATATGTTCCCGTCCCACCCTCACATCACTTCTTGGAACCAACTCCCCTCTGCTGCTGGGACGCGCGCTATGGAAAATTTGCGTTTCGGCGCCTCTTATCGGATCTTATCAGCCGTTATCACTTTCTACCCCCACCAAATATGTTCCCGTCCCACCCTACACATCACTTCCTGGAACCAACTCCCCTCTGCTGCTGGGACGCGCGCTATGAATTTCGTGAAATTTGCGTTCTAGCCTCTTATCAGATCTTATCAGTCGTTATCACTTTCTGACCCCCACCAAATATGTTCCCGTCCCACCCCCTATATCATATCCCAAAATCAGCTCCTGACGACTGCTGCGACGCGTGCTATGAATTTCGTGACACACACACACACACAGACAGACAGACTTAGCGCTTTATATATAGTAGGGATAAAACCATTTTCAAAAAGGGCTTTATGTCCTGAAAGACTTTCCTGGTAAGTGCAGGAGGAAATCGGCAGCCAAAAAAGCTGCATTATAGTGTCAAGGATGCCCAGTAGCAAGAGACGCGCTAAATTTGCTTCCGCTCAAAACACTTTTTACGATTGCATTTTTCAAATTCATGCTTAAAGTTGGTTGAAGCCTAAGGCGCATAAAAGACCCCACGTTACTTGATCCGTTTATGAGACAAACTATGAGATAGACTTCATGAACCTGCCCTTCTCCTTGATATCAACTGCATAACGCGAGCCCAGGTAACGCATAGCATACATGTAAGGTAGAGGTTGAAACCCACTATTTGCAATGAGAGGCAAAAGTATGAAAGCGCCTCGTGTGCCCTTTGGGAGGCACCCAAAATGCACACGTAGCTTACGTGGATTCAAGCGATTTCGTTCTGGCGGTTGAAAACCCAGCACCTGTCATCCACATGAATGGCATCAGAGAACTCATGAAGTAGATGCGGCATGATGCGGCGTATGGCAACAGCAACTTGACGCTCTTACCGCCTTCACCTACAGTCCTAAGCTCTGCCCATACCCAGCATCTAGATATGGCACTGGTTGAGGATAAATGATGGACATGATTTTCGCTAGCGATATAGCTTCAAAAAATGAATGTTCCTCGGGTGATTGAACTTCGCTCAGCAACAAAAACTTATTCAGATGCTCATTGCACCGCACTTGTGCATTTTATGAAATCAACCGCATTGTTATTGTGTTTATGCATTGTTTTAGAGGTTTTAAGCAGTTCCTTTTCTTTTTTTCACTGCTCCAAGATTTGATGAGCTCTTAACACTCATTTTATGAGAGCAACTACAAGAACAGCCGGTATCCACGAAATTTGTTTTTGAGTGGTGACTATCGCAATGAGCGCGATTGCCGCATGCTCATCGTAAACGCTGCCTATTTTTCGGAGGCTTATGGTCAGTCGAGAAAGGCGACATGTGTCCAATTGCGCCTTTGAGCGGCCGTGCTCATTAAAAGCAAGTTTCGATATTAGATAGGTGTGGAAAAGCGTTCAGTTATGAAGCTGAGGTGGGAGGTGGTCTGTAAAAGAGAAGGAAAGCAAACGAAACCACCGATTACGCCCCGTACAGAGACCTCCCCTATTTCAGCCGCATTCCACCTTGGGATAGAGAAGGGGCGCGTTGGACGAGTTTCACGAACCTAACTCTAGTTGCTCCAGTGCCAATGACATTGGATCGCAATGGGACCGCTGCCTCAAATGCGCCCGCGCTTTTCAAGCAGCGCCACGTGGCAACCGACAGCGGAGGGTGGGGCTTGCGGACGAAGGTGTGAGTTGCGGGTCGAGCGAGCTTTGTTGCGCACTTTCAAGCGGCAAAAGGGGCGCGACATCAACGCTTGTCCGCCTGTCCACTACCCCCGGGATGGAACAGAAGAGCGCACCCAATCCCAGAGCGTGCCCTTTAAGCTAGAAGTGGGAGGTGGCCTGAAAGAGAGAAGGAAAGCAACCGACGACGACGCAGCAAGACGACCGCGCGCTCTAAACGTGTCTGCCGTACGAGAAAGCGCGCTCGTTCCTCGACATGCGGCTATGGCCCGCCGGCGGGCCATACGGTCTCACAAGACAACATTTTTCACTTCACTTCCTGTACTTCAACTTCCTTGTCAAGGAAAAACGACTAACACGAGGGAAGTTATACTTTCAACCACATAGGAACGCTATTCTAGTTCTGGAATGGAGAGATAGAGAACTG